ATGCCTGTAATCCCAGCACTTTGGGAGGCCGAGGTGGCTGATTGCTTGATCCCAGGAGTCTGAGACCAATCTGGGCAACATGGCAAGACCTCGTTTCTACAAAAAATAAAAAAGTGTGTGATATTTTGGGTCCCAAGTAGACGAGTCTGATTTACGGCATTCCCTAGGCTGTAAGGACTGGAATGAAAGCTGATGTTTAGCACTGTAAATGCTGAAAATTATAGCAAGCCTAGATTTGGTGTCTGTCATAACCAGTTTCTCTCCACTCAATGATCACTGTTGATACTACTCCTAGAACTATTAAAATCAAAGATCATGTCACTGTCTAAGGTAAAATCCTTTATTAGGAGCAACAGCACAGAGCACATACCCATCAGTATGCTACTCACCACCCTTCCTAAAAACATGCTGACCTCTCTTTACCTTCCCAGTCTCCTTTTCTACCACCCCTTACTTTGAATGCAATGTCCCACCCCAAACAAACAACTTTGATTCCCTGAGCACACCAAGCCCTTTGGTTTCCATGTCTTCTCATGATGGTCCTGGACTGTTCCTCTCACTGATGGTATACCTATCATCACCTACCTTCTTCTGATCCATATTCAACTATCCTCCCATTAAATAACAGCTTCTGCCTTCTCTCTCAAGCAATCCTTTCTTGATTCCTCAATTCTTGAGCAGATCACGTTCTTCCCTTTCCTCTCTACTTAGTGCTACCTACCCTAATGATCTATTTTTTATTTTCTGTAGAGATAGGGTTCCAAAGTGCTGGGACCATTGTATCCCACCGCCTAATGCTTCAGCGTTTTACATACCTCTATTACAGCACTTTATGCACTCTGCTTTAATTATTAATTCATCCTGCTCCCCGACTTGTCTCTTATAAATGTGAGCAAAAGACTATGCTTTTTCATTATTTGTCTCCCCAGCGACAGATTACTCAGCACTGAATAGTCACTTAAAAACTGTTTGGTGAATTAGTCTAGATTTTTACCATCAAGGTGAAAATATAAAAAGTATTTTTACAAAAGTGGAGTGGAGCAACCTGACATATAAAGCAGCACAGGAGTCAGCACCTGTCATCTCAACACTTTAGGAGGCTGAGGTGGAAGGATCATTTGAAACCGGAGTTTGAGACCAGCCTGAGCAGCATAGCAAAACCCCTGCCTAAAATAATAAGTAAAAACTTAGCCAGGCATAGTAGTACATGCCCCAACTCTTGAGAGAGAGAGAGAAAGAGAGAAAGAGAGAGAGAGAGAGAGAGGGTAACATTTGAATAAAAACTCAGAGGTGAGGCCAGGCACAGTGGCTCACATCTGTAATTTCAACCCTTTGGGAGGCTGATCATTTGAGCACAAGAATTCAAGACCAGCCTGGGCAACATGGAGAAACTCCGTCTCTACAGAAAAATACAAAAATTAGCTGGGTGTGGTGACACATGCCTGTAGTCCCAGCTATGGGGAAGGCTAAGGTGGGAGGATCACTTGAGCCCAGGAGGTTGAGGCTGCCATGAGCCAAGATGACACCATTGCACTAGTAAGACTCTGTCAAAACAAAAAACAAAACAAAACAAAAACCCTCAGTGGTAGAATGGGTGATCCATTTATCATACATAGAGAATAAATTGGACAAAGAAAAAAAGATAAATGCTTTGCTTTTCTACAGCTGTGATCAGATTTTATATCTCCATTATGAACCCTAACTCCAGTAAGAGATGAGGTGGCAGATTTTAAATTTACCAAATAATGGTGTCTCATTGTTTCCATTTGAATAGTCTCTTTTGAATGACTCATAATATTTCAGATAACTGCTCAGTTTTCTAGGTTTTGCTTTTCTTCTCCTTGCTCATCCTCAAGATGCCATCTTTGTAAGAGAGAGTGACAGCTCACAATTTGGTAGTAACTTTGTGAGGGACCTCTGATGTGGAGACTATCAGAAGGTCTTCACTGGTTTCTGCCATGAAGTTTCTCATCTGTTCTGGTTTCTAGACTATAATCGACTGAGATATGACTGGTTCTTCCTGGCTTATAACTTATCAGAACTTGTATTAAAATACTGGATTTGCAACATCAAGAAGCAAAGTTGCTGCATTGTACACCTGCATTGTTCCAATCTCAGGACTCAGCTTATCTGCCGTGTTCTCAGCACTTCCTGTCTTGCTTCATCAGGGCACATGGGGACATTTAAAGTCCATGAACAACTATTTAAGCCACCAGGAAGAAGAAAAACTTTTTCAGGCTCATCTATTGAGTTGCCTCCCTTTATCAATACAACACTATTTTTCCATGCCATGCTGGACACAGACAGCCCAATGCCACAAGCTGCGCTCTATCCAAAAACCTGCAACTTCCCTATGTTAGTCTGCTGGAGTTCCTATAACAGAAAACCATAGACTTGGTGGCTTTTAAGCAACAAAAATTTATTTCTCCCAGTTCTGGAGACTGGCAAGTCCAAGGTCAAGACACCCACAGATTAGGTATCTGGTGAGGGCCCATTTCCCTTCTCCCTGTGTTCTCACTGGTGAGAGGGGCAAGGTAGCTCTCTTGGGACTCTTTCCTAGAGCATTATTCCAATTATGAAGGCTCTGTCCTCAGGCCTGATAACCTTCTAAAGGCCTTGCCTCCAACTACCATTACTTTGGGGACTGGGTTTCAACATATGAATTTGTTGGGAGGAGACACTAACATCCAGCCTATAGCACTCTCTTGGGTTGGCCTGGGGAAGTAATCCACCAATACAGCTGCCTTAAGAAAGACCTTACACATCAAAATGAATTTATCATGCTCTTCCCTAGTCAAAATTTTAGCCTAAGAGGAAGAAATTGATGCCAGAATGTAGATTTAGATAGAGAATTCTTTATTGTCTATTTTCATTTTCTTTCTTTCATTTTTTTCTCTTTGGTTTTGTTTTGTTTTTGAGGCAGGATCTTGCTCTGTTGACCAGGCTGGAGTGCAGTGGTGCAATCTCAGCTCAATGTAGCCTTTAACTCCTGGGCTCAAGCAATCCTCTCACCTCAGTCTCCCAAGTAGCTGGGATCACAGGCGTGTGCCACCTTGCCTGGCTAATTTTTGTATTTTTTGTAGAGATGGGGTTTCGCCATGTTGCCCAGCCTGGTCTTGAACTCCTGAACTCAAGCAGCCCACCCACTTCAGCCTCCCAAAGTGCTGGGACTGCAGGAGTGAGCCATTGTGCCTGAAAATTTTCCTTTTGCTATAGTAGCCAAAATCAGGTGGTACTGGCATAAAAACAGACACATAGACAAACGGAACAGAATAGAGAGTCAAGAAATTAATCCTTATATTTATATCCAACTGATTTTTGACAAAGAGGCCAAGAACACTCATTGGGGAAATAACTGTCTCATGAATAAATGGTACTGAGAAAACTGGATATCCATATGCAGAAGAATGAAACTAGACCTCCACTTCTCATGCTATGCAAAAATCAACTCAAATGGATCAAAGACATAAACATAAAACCCAAAACAATAAAAACTACTAGAAAAAAAATATAAGGGAAATTCTTCAGGACATTAGTCTGGGAAAACAATTTATGAACACCTCGGAAGCACAGGCAATAAAAACAAAAAATAATCAAATGGGGTTACAAAAACTAAAAAGCTTTTGCAAAGCAAAGGAAACAGTCAAGAGTGAAGAGACAACTTAGAGAATGGGAGAAAATATTTGCAAATTACTCATTCAACAGGGAATTTATATCCAGAATATATAACAGGAAAAAAAATCCAGTTAAAAAACAGGCAAGTTATCTGAGCAAACATTTCTGAAAAGAAAACATACAAATAGCCAATAAATATATTTTTTAAAGTTCAACATCACTAATCACCATAAAAATGCAAATCAAAACCACAATGAGGTATTACCTCACCCCAGTTAGGTTGGCTATTAATCAAATAGACAAATAAAAACCTCAAAACAAAAACAAACAAATTAAAAAAACAAGTGCCAGTAAGGATGTGCAAAAAGAGAACTACTCTTATGTACTCTTCTTGGGAATATAAACTAATATAGCCACTATGGAAAATAAGTATAAAGATTCCTCAAAAAACTGCAAATAGAACTACCATGTGATCCAGCAATCCCAGTACTGAGAATTTATGCAAAGGAAAGGAAATCAGTATATTGAAGAAACATCTGTACCCTCATGTTTATTATAGCACTATTCATAATAACCAAGATATGGAATCAACCTACATATCCAAAAACAGATGAATGAGTAAAGAAAACGTGGTATATATACACAATGAAATACTAATCAGCCATAAAAAAGAATGAAATCCTGTTACCACAAATGGACCTGGGAGACATTATGTTAAGTGAACAGGAAGTTAAGCACCACACGTGCTCACTCATATGTGGAAGCTAAAACAAGTTGATCTCATAGAAGTAAAAAGTAGATGATGCTGGGGAGGGTAGGGGGAAGGGATCACACCTGTAATCCTGGCATTTTGGGAGGCTGAGATGGGGGAATGGCTTGAGCCCATTAGTTTGAGACCAGACTGGGCAACAAAGTGAGATCCTGTCTCTACAAGAAAAAAAAAAAAATTAAAAAAAAAAAACAGGCACAGTGGTGTGTGCCTGTAGTCCCAACTACTTAGGAGGCTGGGGCAGGAAGATTGCTTGAACCAGGGAGGTCAAGGCTTCAGTAAGCCACAATTATGCTACTGCATACTGGCCTGGGTGACAGTGAGACCCTGTCTCAAAAAACAAAACAAAACAATTCCTGTCCTAAAACTTATTCTCTTGAGCAAATTATTTTGCCAGATCTCTATTTCCTCAGCCAAAAAAGGTAAAGTAACAATATTTATATAAAGTTATGAAGATAACACCACACATCTCAATAGTAACATGTCCAAAATTATACTATGGGTTTTCTGCTTGTGGAACTATTCCTCCTCCAATGTTTCCAGCACAATAAACGGCAACTCCTTCTTCCAATGTGCAAGGCAAAAACGTTCAGATCGTCTAGTGCTCTTCTCTTACCTTTTCACCATATCCACATTCTCAGGACCTCCTGTTTCTCTGCAAAGTGTATGTAGAATCTGACCACTTCCCTTCATATTCATCTCTGTCACCTTTGTCCAAGAAAATATTATCCATCACTTTTTAGTTAAGGCAATAGTAGATGCTTTATCAGAATCTAGGTTGTTTAACACCAAAGAAGCTTGCTGCCATTATCCATGCAGAGATTCAGGGATCCAGTCTCCTACATTCTCTTGGTTGTTCATCTTCAACATTGGCGTCTAAAGCTGCAGAAAGAAAAGAGCATGGAGGGTTGTATATCAGAAGTTTTGTGGGCCAGGCCTGGAAGTGGCATACATTACTTTTACTCATATAGTATCAGCCAGTGCTCAGTCAGATAGTCATACCTAACTATAAAGACGTCTGAGAAATACTCCAGCTATGTCCAGGAGAAGAGAAAAAGGATTTGATAAAGAGCCAGCCCATCTCTGCCACTTTCAATCAACATGAGTTTCAAGCATTTCTAATTGATTTTCTTGCTTTCATCTTTGGGGTCCTACAGTTTTCTCTCAACCTGATGCAACTTAAAACTTAATTTAGATTATGTTCCTCCTTTGCTCAAAGCCTGCCAATAGCTTTCCATCTCCCTTGTTTATTCCAAAGTTCTTATCATGATCTCGAGGCTTTATATGATCTACCTCCCACTCACTTCTTGGTTCGTTTCCTGGCATTTTCCCCCTTGCTCACTCTACTGTAGTCACACTGATTGCCACACTCCCCCTCAACAATGCTGATCGCATTCTGCCACATAGCTTTTGTATTTACTCTTCCTTTTGCCTGAAACACTCTGTCCCCTGGAAAGTCTCAGAGCTCACTCTTTTACCTCCTTCAGGTCTATATTCCAACTGCAGCTTGTTAAGCTTATATAAAGTGGTACCCTCAATCCCCTCTCTCTCCATTCTTTTTATTATTATGCTTAATGTGTATATTTGTTTCTTCGCTTAGTGTCTCTCTTCCAAGATTAGAATGCTTTTTCTTGTGGCAGAAAAAAAATTGTGGCCAGGTGCGGTAGCTCATACCTGTAATCCCAGCAATTTGGGAAGCCGAGGTGGGTGGATCACCTGAGATCAGGAGTTCGAGACCAACCTAGTCAACATGGTGTTACCCTGTCTCTACTAAAAAATACAAAAATTAGCCAAGCATAGTAGCAGGTGCCTATAATCCCAGCTACTTGAGAGGCTGAATTCTTGACAGATCAAAAAGCATTCTCAAGAAATCCTGGGGTGTAAACTGGTGACATTCAGGCTTTCAATATTTATTTTGTAGCTTTATTTTTTTACTTTTTTGAGACAGGATCTTGCTTTGTCGCCTAGGCTGGGGTGAAGTGAGACAATCATAGCTCCCTGCAGCCATGAATTCCTGGGCTCAAGTGATCTCCTGCCTCACTCTTCTGAGTAGCTGGGAGTGGAGGTGCATACCACTAAACAGAGCTAATTTTTGTATTTTTTTGCAGAGATGGGGTCTTGCTATATCACCCAGGCTCATTTTCTTTCTTCAGAAATAATATTCATTCAAATTAGTGAGGGTTGTTGTTGTTGTGTGTTGTTGTTGTGTGTGTGTGTGTGTATGTGTATGTGTGTCTGGATACATGGGGGAGTAAGGAGGCAGTTGAGAAATCTTTTGCAAAGTCCTCTGTTATATTAGTGACCATATATTGTGAGGCAGGATATGAATCATGCTGGTTTCCAAAAAACTTTGAACTTACTATTTCTAGGGCACAGTACTTTCAAAGGGAAGAGCCACATGTTCAGAAACCATAATGACCTGCTCAGAGCACCTGTGCACCAGATATCAGTCTCTCCATCAACTATCCTCTGACAATAGCGGTAAGAACCACTTCCCCACACTCAATGGTCTATTCTAGTTTCTACCACCTAAATAATGGTCGGACCCCACCTGAAACATGAGTTTAAGCCATAGCCAGGTTGACCTCCAGAACACTGTCTTAAAATGGAGTCAAGGGAGGGCAATAACAGATTTGCAAAGGAGAGAAACGCTGATCATTCAAAAGCAGTTCTGAGCATGAAATAAGTAATATGTCCACTCAGAGATATTGTTAATTTAGGAACAAAGTCTAAAGCTGAAGTCCTGCGGACATCCTGGAAAAGAAGCTTAGGCATAGGGCTGGTTGAGTGGAGTACCTGGAGCCAGAGCAATGCAGAGCATCAAGGCTCAGCAGCCCTTCCTGGGGATGATACAGATAATGAAAGGAGGGTGGAGGGAAGGAAGGAGAATGGGATGGAGGTGTGAACGTGAAGTGAACAAGAGAACTTGCTAAATATTTGCCTCAGTATGTGGCCCTATGGATCACTTCCATCCAAATCCTCTGGGAAGCATGTTTCTGGCTGGGCTCAGTGACTCACACACCTGTAATCCCAGCACTTTGGGAGGCTAAGGTGGGCAGATCACTTGAGGCCAGGAGTTCAAGTGTTTATTAACTGATCCTTTTGCAGAAAAAGGGTCAAACTAGCCTAGCCAACATGGCAAAATCCCATCTCTACAATAAATACAAAAATCAGCCAGGCATGGTGGCTCCTACCTGTATGTAGACCCAACTACTCAGGAGGCTGAGGTAGGATGATCACTTGAGCCCAGGAGGCAGAGGTTGCAGTGACCCAAGATCACTCCATTTTTCTTTTTAATTGCATTCTAGGCAGCTTTTATTGCATTTTGTAATATTTATTTATTTATTTATTGAGACAGTGTCTTGCTCTGTCACCCATGCTGAAGTGAGTGTGTGATCACGGCCCACTGCACCCTTAAACTACTAGGCATAAGCAATCCCCCCACCTCAGCCTCTGCGGTAGCTGGGACTACAGGTGCACGCCACCACACCCAGTTAATTTTTTATATTTTGTAGAGACAGTATCTTGTAGAGACAGACAGTTGGCCGGGCTGATCTCAAACTCCTGGGCTCAAATAATCCTCCCACCCCAACCTCCCAAAGTGCTGGGATTATGGGCATGAGCCACTGCATCCAGCCAGGATGTAAACTTTATACATGTTCCCCAGGTATCTGAAGCATACTTATATTTATTTGTGTGCTAAGCTCTTTACTGGTATTGTTTTTGCTTAATCCTTCAACAGCTCTATGAAGCATGTGCTATTCTTATCCTCTCCCTATAGACAGGAAACTGTGATTTAGAGAAGCTGACTGACAAGGCACAAAGACAAATGTGGCAAAGCCCAAATGCAAACTTAAGACATTCTTATTCCAGATTTCTGTGATTGTAATCACTCTGGACCAGAGGTCTTCAGACTTCTTCTGCAAAAGGGTAAGTTAATAAACATTTAAGATGTGTGGGCTACATAGTCTATGTTGCAACTACTCAACATTGCCACAGGGAACGTGTAAACAAACTGACACGACTTGGTGTTCTAATAAAACTTTACAAAAACGGGCAGCAGGTCTGAAGATGCCTGCTGTCCACTAAGTATTGCTTTTCAGAGTGTTAAAGTGTCGTGCTCAGAACAGCAGGATCCTAGGAACGTGTTAGAAATGCAGACTCTCAGGTCTCATTCCAGACTTGCCGAATGACAATCTGCATTTAACAGGGCCCCGAGGCAATTTTTATGCACGTTCAAGTATGAGACCTCTACTCTCCAGGGCTTTGACAAAGGGCTTCCCTGAAAGCTGCCTTTAATGCCTTTGCTGTTCCTCCTTTTATGTCCATGAACTCATCTGACAGTGACTGTGTTGATTGTCTTCTGCAAAAGTTAAAAAGTAAATAAAGCTGGGTGTTGTGGCTCATGCCTAGAAAACTCCCAGCACTTTGGGAGTGCTTGAACCCAGGGGTTGAGGACCTGCGAGGGTAACCTGGCAAAACCCCGTCTCTACAAAAAATACAAAAATTAGCCAGGTGTGCTGGTGGGTGCCTGTAGTTCCAGCTACTCTGGAGGCTGAAGCTGGAGGATAGCTTGATCTGGAGGTTGAGGCTACAGTGAGCCATGATTGTGCCACTGCACTCTAGCCTGGGCACAAAAGTGAGGCACTGTTTCAAAATAAATAAATAAACAAATACATAAATATAAAAATAACTTATTAAATTGATAGTGCTTGCTATCTCAGAATCAAAGATATAACATCATAATTTATATTTGCCTTCTAAAAAGCACTAAGTAGATGAAAAGCGCTTTATGAGTTCTTTCTTTTTTCTGTACAGATTGCAAGGCCTTATACCAGAGGTATTCAATCAGAATCTCTGGAGATGAGACCTGGAAGCTGCATTTTAACAAGTTTCTCAGGTGATTCATTCACATTTAGATAATCCAGTAGGTGCCCACTCTTTAGATCTGGAGATTTCTGCATGAAGAACATACAAATGTGAATTTTGAAGAGAAGAGTTTAATCCTCCACTAATTATGTAACCTTGAATAAGCTAATTGACCTATTTGGAAATCACTTTGTTCACTCAAATGCTGGTTCTCAAACTTTAGTTTGCATTAGGATCATCCTGACCAAGGCAAACACTCAGAGACTCCACCACTGTATAATAACATGAACAAAGGGTTGAGTAAGTAAATGAGGGAGAAAAGGCAGCTCTTCCTTACAGCACAATGTCAACTACTACATAGAGAAGGGGCCACAGAATTATTAAATCATCAATGGATGCTAAAACTAGCGGTAAAACTTTACTGAGGAAGAGGATATTTACATAGTGTCAAAGTATCTCCTTGCAAATTAATTATCATTTGCAAAGTAAAATACAGTAACTTTATAGTAGGTAAACCTGGCAGACATCACCAAACTGACCAAAGCTAACATCACCAACATAAGGACAAAGTGACATCATATGCTTCTTGAGGTGATGCACCAAGAACACAATGCCACTTGGTGATATTCCCGCCACAATGCATTACCCATACTAAGTATCAGGAAACATCAGACAAACTCCAACTAAGGTGCACTCTAAAAAGTAACTGGCACACAATCTTCAAAAATTTCAAGTTCAAGAAACAAAGAAAAGTTAGTGTTGGGATTACGTACAGGTATGAGCCACCGTGTCTGGGCCAGTTTTTAAGGCAAAATAAGAATCAATGTCACATCAAATGTACACATTAAATGTATACATATATATTCATTTCAGATTTCAGAAAGATGAAAATGTGAAAAATATGACTTTTAAGCTTACATAAATAAGAATGTAAGCTTTTGGGGGACTGTAAGACTTTACAAGTGTGAAATAATTAGGTGATTATTTTGCTTCATGACACTTCTATTAATTTC